AAAGTCAGAATTCTGACTTTTTTCCCATACTATACTGAAATAAAATAAAAAAAATCAGTTAACTTTTTTTTTTTTTTCCAGTGGCCCTAATCCTCTTCCGTAGAAAGAGTTAGTTTGGAGTCGCACGTCGCGTTTATAGTAAGCAGGACAGACGGGTGAAAAAAACAATGGATTAAACATTAAAGGAAAAGTCCGATCAGCAAGGAATGATCAATGTATCATTATCTATACCTAAAAAAAAACTATAATTTTTGTTGCGATCACTGAGTGTGGGAGCGGCCATTTTTGCCCAAATATAGTAACCCCTCCCTCCTGCCATCTTTCGGCAGTGACGTCACGGTGCGGTAAGCCTAGCGCCATTCTCCCCGTATGGAAGGAAAACCGTCTCATTGGAATCTTTTGAATTTTAAACACTGAATTTGTTTAGACATTGAATTCCTTACACTCAATTTTTATCTGGTAAAAATTCACTAGGAAAAAATTCAGCGGCAAAAGTGTTGACCTTTTGGTGAACTCAAGCCAAAGCAATCTACACTCGATAGAGTCGAGCAGCTTCTAGCCAATGAAATTAGCTTATTTGGTCACGTGACACAACAGCTGCGCTCAGCGCTGTTCCCGGCTGAATGAGGAATTTTTTTTTTTTGTTAAACAGAGTTACAGAACGTCAGTTAGCTACTAACAGACAGCTATTAGAGTTTTTCCTCTTATCACCCCTGTCTGCCAAGGCTCTTGGTTTGATCCGGAAGCAGCCAGCAGCAAACCGCCCGCTGGCTTCTTCCGGATCAAACCAAGAGCCTTGGCAGACAGGGGTGCCGTACTAGCTGTGATCGGCTCAGTTGTTTCACCCAGTCTGATAAGAGGAAAAACTGAATTCAGCTGAATTTTTTTCTGGTGAATTTTTACCAGATAAAAATTGAGTGTAAGGAATTCAGTGTCTAAAAAAATTCGGTGTTTAAAAAAAGATTCCAATGAGACAGTTTTTCTTCCATTCTCCCCGCTTTCCAAGCTAAATCAATGGGAACTACTAGACACATCTGCAATCAACAACAA